TAAATACAAAAGATATGGACAGTACATTGAGTAGAGCATCTAGAGCAATAAAAAAAACTTCAAAAAAGGTAAGTTTTAGTAAATTATTGTTTGATATATCTCTAAAATATATTTTCCAGATTATATTCAAATAATATTGCCATAAACACCAGTATAAAGATAGTCTATACAACAAAGCTGTTCTTTGGTTCTAGGAAATGACCCACAGAGACAATAGTTTTAGTTCAGTGACTTCTTTGCCACAGTAATTATAACTTATGCCTCCTATTCTTGTCATAGTGATAATACTATGAATTATACTTCAGTAGAAATGTACTGTTGATGTTTTAGATCTAGATATGTGTACATTCATCTTAAATATCACCTCGGATACCTTTCGGCAAACGTCACATGACAGAGTCAGGAGACCTGGAATCTGTTCCTAACTCTACAAGTATGTTTTAGTCTTCTCATGTTGAAGACAACTTCCTTACTTACCTTATCAGAGTTGTTGAGGACTACATAAGTATGTTGGCAAATAGGGCTTTTTAAAAGAACAACTAGAATTTTAGTGTTCCAAGGGAAATTTGCAACCATATTCTCTACTGTTAGATTTGTAAGTTTTGTTTTGTTTTCTTTCCCTTTGTGGAAAGGCCTTGTACTTTAATCATCTTTGTATCTCCCATTATTTAACATGTATGATGTATAATAGACAAGCATATTAAATGATATTTCAAATGAACTCCAGTCTTATGATAAAGAAATGGAGGCTCTGGTGATTTTGTATTAAAGAACTCATAACTAGAGTGGCTAAATTAGACAAGAACCCAGGTTTCTTCTCTCCAAGGCTAGGTTTTTTCATTCCACCTTCTTCCATTGGACTGCAATACTATCTAAATGCAAGATGGAATAGTCTACAAAATTTTCCCACTGCTTTGTACCAAAGAGATTCTAATTCTGCCACGGAAAGCCTTTGATATGTATTTAACTTTTTTATTAATAAATCTAAACATTATCAGCCATATTACATTTGTCCGGGCTTACTTAATTGTAACTTTTTTTAATTCTAGGTTACAAGAGCATTCTCTTTCTCCAAAACCCCAAAAAGAGCTCTACGAAGGGCTCTTATGACATCTCATAGCTCAATGGAGGGAAGAAGCCCTTCCAGCAATGATAAACATGTAATGAGTCGTCTGTCTAGCACATCATCATTAGCAGTAAGTGATTTTGATTTAATGGGCTAAATGACTTACTCATATTTATGGAGTTGGTATGGAATTTGTTAACTTTTAATATACGGAAATATTAATATCTTTAATCATTTTTTATGTGTCTCTGAACTACTAACGTCTCTCTTGGGTAAAGGCAAATGAGAAAACCTTACTATTAATGAACTAGAGATATACTTAATGTGTAGTTTATTTGATATGAAATTTTATTGTGATTGATATATGTTCAAAAATCTCTAAGGAAAGAAACAAGTTTCAATGTGGCCAATCACTTTACTAATGTAAATAGCTATGGTTCTGTTTACACAGATTGGTTCCAATACCATAGCAGAATCTGAGTCTTATTCCTTTTGCAATTTCTGTGATGAGTACAATATAATCTCGAAACTGAATTTCAGAGGATGATATAGGTTCTAAATTCATGTATATATTTTTAAATGTTTACTGAACAACCCAAACTTCCAATAAACTCAGAATTATTAGATGTTAATATTAAAGGTCTTTCTAACATGTATTATTATCACTAAGTATTTGAGTGATACATCTGTTCTTTGTAAAATTATTTATTAACCTAACCTATGGAGGTTAAGAAAAGCAAGTGACTGTTACTTCTTGTGTGTCCTTCAGCAAGTTTCTTATTCTCTCTTACCTACAGATGCGAGAAAAGATGTTAGTAGTGCTTACTTACCCCATACTGTTATTGCAAGGACTAAATAATATATACATATTATATAATCACACATGTATATGATGCAATTATATACTGAGAAGCCTTTTGGGTAGTGGTTAAGAGCATGAACTCTGGAACACAAGTGCTCAAATCCTTGCTCTGCTATTTACTAATTTTATGACTTTTGGCAAGTTAT